GAGGAAATTCCTAGTGTTTCCAGATTTATTGATTGTGTGTGCTTTTAAGTTTTGGTTTATAGATTTCAGGAAGTAACACTCCCCTCAAAAAGTAAGTAAAAAGTTCTGTTGGCTGGGCGTGGTGGCTCACAGCTGTAACCCCAGCACTTTGGAAGGCCAGGTGGGTGGATCTCCTGAGGTCAGGAATTCGAGACCAGTCTGGCCAACATGGCAAAACCCCATCTCTACTTAAAAAAAAAAAAAAAAAAAGCTGGATGTGGTGGCACTTACCTGTACTCCCAGCTACTTGGGAGGCTGAGGCAGGAGAATTGTTTGAACCCAGCAGGCGGAGGTTGTGGTGAGCCAGGATTGCACCACTGGGCTCCAGCCTGGGAGACAGAGCCAAGACTCTGTCTTTTAAAAAAAAAAAAAAAAAAGTTATCTTAATGGAGAAATGAAGAGCATAATAGGAACATAAGTTATTTGCTTTCATTGTGGTTATTTCTACAGGATAGGGCAGGGGAAGCACAGATAGGTTAAGAAAAATTGTAGCATCATGAACTAGGGGGAAATCCAATGTAGAAATGGCATGAACTTTCTTCCAGCCCACTCATGTTGTTTCCTAGAGTGATGACATCGCTCAATGATTGAAAAGAGGTTGAACTGAGCAGTTAATTATATAAAGTTAGAAATTCCAAAGCAAGTAGTAACTTCCAGAAATTCTCCAGCAGCATGAGTCAAGACTTATGGCCAAATATGGCTTCCATTCTTCATGAAGGAAAGGCCATGGAAAGGCTGTGACATTGCCCAGTGCAGATGTTGACTTGGTTTGTGGAAGCGCAGTGTGGACAAGGAAGGAATAAATACGCTAATAGGAATGGAATAACCTTTTTCTTTTACCCATTTTAAGAAATTAAGTAAAAGTTTTCATCAAAAGACTTAAAGAGGAGTTGATTTTATTTTTTAAGATTGCACTTAGTTTAAAGGTAAGGTTACACTTTAAAGTAAGAATTCTATAATCATGTTTTTATAAGACATAGATTTGTAACAAATAGTGACTGGTAATAAAATTTCAGTCAATATCAGGTTATGCCAGTGTCTTGAATTTCTTGACAGTTGAGCCTTTCTCAGCTAAAGATGTCATTTGGTAAAGGAAGTTTTAGAGGATGTTAGACACAGCTGGTTGCATTTATAGTAGTAGCTTTGTTCCTCATATGCATAGAAGAGACATAGGACAGGATCGTAAAAGAAGTGATATGACGTTTTATCATAACAGTCAAAACCTTGAAGCAGCTTATTCTTGACACTGAGTGGCAACTGTTGTTAAGGTTTTTACACAACCTTTATCTTTCTTTTTTTGAAACGGAGTTTCACTCTTGTTGCCCAGGTTGGAGTGCAATGGTGCAATCTTGGCTCACTGCAACTTCTGCCTCCTGGTTTGAGGCGACTCTCCTGCCTCAGCCTCCCGAGTAGCTGGGATTACAGGCATGCACCCCCAGCTAATTTTGTAGTTTCTCCATGTTGGTCAGGCTGGTCTCGAACTCCTGACCTCAGGTCACCTGCCCGCCTTGGCCTCCCAAAGTGCTGGGATTACAGGCGTGAGCCACCGTGCCCAGCCAACCTTTATCATTTTTAAAAAGGTCCCTTAGAGCCTTAGGCTCCACTTTCTTCCTCAGGTGCCACATCTAAACCATGGCTAAGCGATGCTTGTTCTGCCTCCGAGTTCAAGCAGTCCATGAAACAGCCCACTTGTCTTCACTGTCCAGTCGCCATTCTTGGTCCAGGCCACCCTGGGTGGCCCCTGAGCTGTAGCAGCAGCTTCCATGTGTGCCTGCCTTGAGTGAGTCCCTGGCATTCTCAGGCCTCCTGCCACACTACAGCTGGAGGCTTCTTCTAAAATCCAGTGCTTTCTTGGCAACTTAAAACCTGTGACTTTCCAAGTAGGATCTTGTCCCCACGTCCTTAACAAGAAGAGGTAACATATTTCCCTATACCGCTGCTTGCTTCTTTTTTTTATTCTTGAGATGAGGTCTTGCTTTGTCACCTAGGCTGGGATGGAATGGTGTGATCACAGCTCACTGCCACCTCTAATTCCTGGGCTGAAGGGATCCTCTTCCTTCAGTCTCCTGAGTAGCTGGGACTACAGGCACGTGCCACCACGCCCCGCTTATTTTTGAATTTTTTTATGGAAACAGGGTCTCCCTGTGTTGCCCAGACTGGTCTTGAACTCCTGGGCTCAGCGATCCTCCCACCTCATGCTCCTGTGCTGAGATTACAGCCTCCTGTGCTGGGATTACAGGCCTAAGCCACCACACCAGGCTTTTATTTTTTAATATAAAAAATTTTATTTTTTTGAGACAGGGTCTCACTTTGTCCCTCAGGCTGAATGCAGTGGTGCAATCTTGGTTCCCTGCAGCCTTGACCTCCCTCCTGGGTTCAAGTGATCCTCCTGCCTCAGCCCCTCAAATAGCTGAGACTACCGGTGCACACTGCCACACCCACCTAATTTTTGTATTTTTAGTGGAGACCGGGTTTCTCTCCATGTTGGCCAGGCTGGTCTTGAACTCCAGGGATCAAGCAATCCGTCCGCCTCAGCCTCCCAAAGTGCTAGGATTATAGGCATGAGCCAACATGCCTGGCCTAAAAATATTTTTTTCAGCTCTAGAAATGTTAGCTCTTTTGCTGTACATTTCCAGAGCTGCTTTAATAATAACAGTTATCACACCCATAATTTCATGTGATGATTGCATTTCTATTTTATTTTTTTGAGACGGAATCTCGCTCTGTCTCCCAGGCTGGAGTGCAGTGGCGTGATCTCGGCTCACCGCAAGCTCTGCCCCCTGGGTTCACGCCATTCTCCTACCTCCGCCTCCCAAGTAGCTGGGATTACAGGCGCCTGCCACCATGCCCAGCTAATTTTTTGTATATTTTGGGTTTCACTGTGTTAGCCAGGATGGTCTCGATGGTCTCGATCTCTTGACTGTGTGATCCGCCTGCCTCGGCCTCCCAAGGTGCTAGGATTACATGCATGAGCCACCGCGCCCGGCCATATTCCTTATTTTTAAATTTCATGACTGCACTTACTCCATGAGGTCTTGTTCATTAATATATTTTTAGCACCTCGTGTGCTTCTGGTGTATGTAGCACACGGTTGGTATAAATTGAAATTGAATTAATGCTCACAGTAGTTTGGGGATGGAGCTGGTAGTTTTGCATTAATTTTGCAGGTAAAAAAACAGACATGAGGAAGTTGAAACTTGCCAAGAAAATTACAGCCAGTACGTGCTAGAATTGGCCCTGGGTCTCAAATCTAGGCTTTTGACTCCAAAGCTTAGGCTCCTGCTCATACAGGTTTATTTTCACATTCTAAGCTTTTAACAAAATGTATGTCCAATGAGTCATTTCTGTTTAGAAAGCCTTTAGGAGTTGGAAGCTACTTCCTGGTGATGTAATGTTTGACTCTCTGAAGTCTTTGGAATGGTGAGTTCCAACTTTTGTTAAGCCCTCAATAATGTCATGAGTGAATGAGAATTGGCAAGACTGGCTGGGCCTGTAATCTGCCTTGAGTGTGAGGGAAAATGGAAAAGCGCTTAACTTTATGGTGAATTCTCATTTATAGTAGTTGAGATTGAACGACAAAAATCTTACAAATTATGACACTGATGTATCGTGACCTTGGTAAACTGACAGCACAGCAGACAGAAGGGCTCATTAAGGAGAGCACTTGGCTAACTGAACCCTCAGGATGCTAGAGACTTGAGCTTTCATATAAACCCTTAAGCTTGTCTTGTCAATGGTGTAAAAATTGGAGACCTTTATGTTTTGCTAATGTTGTGGTGGTCTTAGTTATTAGGTGATAGCTTCTTGAAAAACATTCCAGGTGGTTGGGAGACTTTCAGCCACCACTCTGACTTCTGCCTGGTGACACACTGGTAATACTAGGATTAGTCTCTACCCATTACGAATTGTGCAGGTGGTGCTCCTTTCTCTGAAGTATTTCTACACACTTCTTTGTTTGGAAAGTTTAACTCCCATCCTCTCTGAGCTATTGATTAATATGTCTGGGATGTATTGTGATAGCCCCTGCTTATAGACTTACGAGGCTGTGTGAGGACTGGGGCGGGGGGAGGTGGCAGTTGAATACAGCTGAATTAATGTGATGGCAGTTATGGGTGGTGGTTTATTGACTAAGCACTTTCTCTCAAGAGAACAGTCATTGCCGATTGCCAGAGGGGAGGCTCTAGGGATGTGGTGGGATTTTTGAGCTGTGCCACTTAAGGCAGCAAAATAAGTTACTTAGAGAAGTACAGGTGGCCAAAAAAAGCTGTGCTTGTGTATTAGTATTAAAATACCTTTAGGCTGGGTTTGGTGGCTCACGCCTGTAATCCTAGCGCTTTGGGAGGTCCACGTGGGCGGATCACTTGAAGTCAGGAGTTTGAGACCAGCCTGGCCAACATGGCGAAAATCCATCTCTACTAGAAATAAAAAAAAATTAGCCGGGCGTGGGGGTGGGCACCTGTAATCCCAGCTATACTTGGGAGGCAGAGGCTGCAGTGAGCCAAGATGGTGCCACTGCACTCCAGCCTGGGCGACAGCATGAGACTCAGTCTCAAAAAAAAAAAAAAAGTCTTCGGGATCAAACTTAAGATTCTTGGATGAAAGACTCTACAGATGTTCACAGAAGAGACGTGAAGTTTTAAAATCTTGTTTCTCTTGAATCTTGTACATCGGTAACAACTGTTTCTTGACTATTAATGCTAACACCAGGTACCTAAACAGAACGTGATGGTTCCTGACTCTACCTTTCTGAGAAATTCTAGTTTGTTTACTTTAAATTTCAGGGTACAAATGTGTATGTGGTGATAAAGGGTTATAGAAAACATTGAAAACATTTTCTTTAATGCTAAGCGTGTGATGTATATGCCTTCATTGTTTTTTTCTCTAGAGATTATTTGACAGAATAATGAAAGCTAAGATTACATTCATGTTGACTAAGCAACCTTTTTTCTCTTTCTCTTTAGAGCTGTAGGTAAAACTTGCCTACTGATCAGTTACACAACCAATGCATTTCCTGGAGAATATATCCCTACTGTGTAAGTATCTTGAATTAAATTGGGAACTAACTTGTCTGTGTTACGGTTTTCACATTCCTTTGACCATTTGTTTTGCTGTAGAGCCATCTTTAATCCTCATATGAACAGATACTAAGTTTTTCTTAAACATTCACTGAAATCTATAAGGTATTTTAGGCTTTTAAAAAATAGGGTGGGATGTGGTGATCCCACCACTTTGGGAGGCTGAGGCGGGTGGGTCAGCTGAGGGTCAGGAGTTTGAGACCAGCATGGCCAACGTGATGAAACCCCGTCTCTACTAAAAGTACAAAAAATTAGCTGGGTGTGGTGGCGGGTGCCTGTAATCCCATCTACTTGGGAGGCTGAGGCAGGAGAATCACTCAAACCCTGGAGGCGGAAGTTGCAGTGAGCTGGGATCATGCCACTGTACTCCAGCCTGGGCAGCAAGAGTGAAACTCCATCTCAAAAAAAAAAAAAAAAAAACCCACAAACAAAACAAAAACTTAGGGTAATATAAACTGTTCTGGTGTGATGGAACAAACACAACTTTGCTAATTGATTTTTAAACATCCAGAAGACAAAGTCTAACTTGAAGTATAGAGACTGTATGATGTTAAAGAAAACCAGAGTTGGACACAAGGACTCTGACCAAAACTCTGATCAGAGACAGTCCTTGTCAGTACAAGAGTTTCAGATACATTGGCTTTCTGGGAACTGGAATGGGAAGGATTCCATTATGATTTAATTGGCCTTTTCTGATAAGTCATCAGTTGGTTACATGTCAACATTGAGGTATAGGGCTTTGGAATTGAAACTTGGGTGTGTGTGTTGAGGGGGTATAGGAGGGTGGAATTGGCTGTTGAATTGCTTACTCCCTGTGGGCAGCAGAATTGGGTGGAGACAGGAAAGTGCTGCTCTGGTGATGGGTTACCCAGGAGCCCATGTAGCTGAGCCTCATAATGCACCATACTGCATTTGCTGTGAGTTCTCCCCGTGTAAGCTGGGTAGGTGTTGCCTCCTCACCTTCTCAGGCACAACACACACCCAGGTGCTCCCTGAAGTGTCATACCCATGTTTTTTGTTGTTGCTGTTTTCCTTTTTTTTTTTTTTTTTTTTTTGGAGTTAGTGTCTCTCTGTCGCCCAGGCTGGAATGTGCAGTGATGCGATCTGAGCTCACTGCAATGCTGCAATGTCTGCCTCCTGGGTTCAAGCGATTCCCTGCCTCAGCCTCCCAAGTAGCTGGGATTACAGGTGCACACCACCTTGCCCGGCTAATTTTTGTTTCTTTAGTAGTGACAGGTTTCACTATGTTGGCCAGGTTGGTCTCAAACTCCTGACCTCAGGTGATCTGCCCGCCTCGGCCTTCCAAAGTGCTGGGATTACAAACGTGAGCCACCGCACCTGGCGCCCATTGTTTAGTGTAAGTGGAATCATGCTGTCCCTGTTGTCCTAAATTTATGAGGGAGATTTTCCTTATCTACATGTGTAGATAAAGGTTAAATCATTAATGATTCATGATTTTGAAGTACTGTAACTGATTTAACCCACTGGTCGCTTGGACTCTTGGTGTTACAAACATTTTTGTGTTCAGTGTTGTCCCTCATGTCTTTGTGTACACTCGGATAGATTATTAGAAATGAAATCGTGCCAGATCAAAAGACAATGGATGTTTTAAATTTTGGTAGATACAGCCAGGTGTGATTGCTCACACCTGTAATCCCAGCACTTTGGGAGGCCAAGACAGAAGGATCACTTGAGTTCAGGAGTTCGAGACCAGCCTGGCCAACATGGTAAAACCCTCATCTCTACTAAAAATGTAATAATTAGCCGGGCGTGGTCGTGCACTCCTGTAGTCCCAGCTACTCGGGAGGCTGAGGCATGAGAATTGCTTGAACCCGGGAAGCGAAGGTTGCAGTGAGCCGAGATTGCACCACTGCACTTCAGCCTGAGCAACAGTGAGACTCTGTCTCCAGAAAAAAAAACATTTAAAAAAAAAATTATTTTTTGGTAGATACTACCAAATTGCTGTCTACAAAGCTGTCACTTTGCTGGCCTTAACTAAAGTGGCCTCTTAGTACACGCTGCCGTTACGTGGGTTGAAGTTATCTAACCATTTGCATTTCTAATCACAGATGTGGTTAAAATCTTTGAATTTTTTTTTTTTTTTTTTTTGAGACGGAGTCTTGCTCAGTCGCCCAGGCTGGAGTGCCACTGGTGGCGCGATCTCAGCTCACTGCAAGCTCCACCTCCCAGGTTCACGCCATTCTCCTGCCTCAGCCTCTCGAGTAGCTGGGACTACAGGTGCCCGCCACCTAGCCTGGCTAGTTTTTTTTTTTGTATTTGTAGTTGAGACGGGGTTTCACCGTGTTAGCCAGGATGGTCTTGATCTCCTGATCTCGTGATCCGCCCGTCTCAGCCTCCCAAAGTGCTGGGATTACAGGCGTGAGCGACTGCGCCTGGCTGAATTTTTTTTTTTTTTAATTAAGTAATTTTGCTCACTCCTGTAATCCCAGCACTTGGGGAGGCTGAGCTGGGTGGATCACTGAGGTAAGGGGTTTGAGACCAACTTGGCCAACATGGTGAAACTCCGTCTCTACTAAAAATACAAAAGTTAGCTGGGCATGGTGGCACATGACTCTACTCCCAGCTACTCTGAAGGCTGAGGCAGGAGGATTGCTTGAACGTGGGAGGCGGAGGTTGCAGTGAGCCGAGATTGTGCTACTGCACTCCAGCCTGGGCAATAGAGCAAGACCCTGTCTCCAAAAAAAAAAAAAAACAAAAAACATGTGTTTTTATAGAGCTACGTCTTGCTGTATTGCCCAGGCTGGTCCTGAACACTTGGTCTCAAGTGATTCTCCACCTTGACCTCCCAAAGTGTTGGTATTACAGGCGTGAGCCACCACACCTGGCTCTTTTGAATGTTTACTGTACATTTTTAGTCTCCTGTGAATTGTTTGTTTAAATCTTATTTTTCTACTGAAAAATTTTTTTTTTTTTTTTTTTTTTTTTTGAGACGGAGTCTCACTCTGTCGCCCCGGCTGGAGTGCAGTGGCGCGATCTCGGCTCACTGCAAGCTCCGCCTCCCAGGTTCACGCCATTCTTCTGCCTCAGCCTCCCGAGTAGCTGGGACTACAGGCGCCCGCCACCACGCCCAGCTAGTTTTTTGTATTTTTTATTTTTATTTTTATTTATTTATTTTTTTTTGAGACTGAGTCTGGCTCTGTCGCCCAGGCTGGAGTGCAGTGGCCGGATCTCAGCTCACTGCAAGCTCCACCTCCCGGGTTTACGCCATTCTCCTGCCTCAGCCTCCGGAGTAGCTGGGACCACAGGCACCCGCCACCTCGCCCGGCTAGTTTTTTGTATTTTTTAGTAGAGACGGGGTTTCACCGTGTTAGCCAGGATGGTCTCGATCTCCTGACCTTGTGATCCGCCCGTCTCAGCCTCCCAAAGTGCTGGGATTACAGGCTTGAGCCACCGCGCCCGGCTGTTTTTTGTAGTTTTTAGTAGAGACGGGGTTTCACTGTGTTAGCCAGGATGGTCTCGATCTCCTGACCTCATGATCCGCCCGTCTCGGCCTCCCAAAGTGCTGAGATTACAGGCTTGAGCCACCGCGCCCGACCGAAATTTTTTCTTACTGATGGAACATTTCCTTCTTTCCCTCCCCACTCCCTCTGTCCCTCCTTCCCTCCTTCCTTCTCCTTTCTTTTCCCTTTTCTTTTCTTTTCTTTTTTTTTTTTTGAGATGGGATCTTGCAGTATTGCCCAGGCTGGACTTGAACTGCTGGTCCTTCCACCTCAGCCGATTGAGTAGCTAGACTATAGTCATGCTCCACTGCACGTGGCCTGATGGAACGTTTCGTAAATAATCCTTCTCAGTCTGTCATTTGTCTTTGATCTTCATTGTGGTGTCTTCTGCCGTATAGAAATTTAGCATTTAATGTAAATAATACCACATCACTTGGGCTTGGTGGCCCATGCCTTTAATCCCAGCACTTTGGGAGGCTGAAGCAGGTGGATCACGAGGTCAGATCGAGACCAGCCTGATCGACATGGTGAAACCCCGTCTCTACTAAAATACAACAATTACCTGGGCGTGGTGGTGCACACCTGTAATCCCAGCTCCTCAGGAGGCTGAGGCAGGAGAATCGCTTGATCCCGGGAGGCGGAGGTTGCAGTGAGCCAAGATCGCGCCACTGCACTCCAGCCTGGGTGACAGAGTGAGATTCTGTCTCAAAAAAAAAATAAAATAATAGTAATAATACCACCTCTCCCTCAGAATTGTATGTTGTATCTTAGAAAGGCCTTTCCTACTTAAATAATGCAAAAGTATGCTCTAGTATTTTTTCTAGGTTTTTTGTGGCTAAAATTTTTATCTTTAATCCATTTAGAATTTATTTTTGGTATAGAACGAGGCAAGGACCTGATTCTTTTTCCCTTATAGGGGAAAGAAAGTCACAATACCATTTATCCTATAATCTTTTTTTTTTTTTTTTTGAGATGGAGTCTCGCTCTGTCACCCAGGCTGGAGTGCAGTGGCCGGATCTCAGCTCACTGCAAGCTCCGCCTCCCGGGTTCACACCATTCTCCTGCCTCAGCCTCCCGAGTAGCTGGGAGTACAGGCGCCTGCCACCTCACCCGGCTAAGTTTTTGTATTTTTAGTAGAGACGGGGTTTCACCATGTTAGCCAGGATGGTCTGGATCTCCTGACCTCGTGATCCGCCCGCCTCGGCTTCCCAAAGTGCTGGGATTACAGGCTTGAGCCACCACGCCCGGCCTATCCTATAATCTTTTTCTTATGGAAGCATAATTACCATGTCTGTCACTATCACCTTTTCTTTCTTTCTTCTTCTTCTTTTTTTTTTTTTTTTTTGAGACAAAGTTTTGCTCTTGTTGCCCAGGTTGGAGAGCGATGATGTGATCTTGGCCCACTGCAACCTCTGCCTCCCGGGTTCAAGTGATTCTCTTGCCTCAGCCTCCCAAGTAGCTGGGATTACAAGCACCCGCCACCACGCCCCGGCTAATTTTTGCAGTTTTAGTAGAGACAGGGTTTTCGTCATGTTGGCCAGGCTGGTCTCAAACTCCTGACCTCAGGTGATCCACCCACCTCGGCCTTCCAAAGTGTTAGGATTACAGGCGTGAGCCACCGTGCCCAGCCTCTGCTTTTTATTATATTTTTCCTTTTCTTTTTTGCCTTCCTGTCCAGAGGAAACACTATTCTTTTCTAAAGCTTGGTTTCTGCTGACCAGTAGCAGTTTTTAACTTGGGTCTGATTTCCTTCTGTCAGCCTGTAGGCTTTGCTGGGTTACCTCTCCTGACTAATTTGTGTAGCAACTTCACGTGAATTTGTTTTTTTTTTTTTTTTTTTTTGGGAGACGGAGTCTCGCTGTGTCGCCCAGGCTGGAGTGCAATGGTGTGATCTTGGCTCACTGCAAGCTCCGCCTCCCGGGTTCACGCCATTCTCCTGCCTCAGCCTCCCGAGTAGCTGGGACTACAGGTGTCCGCCGCCACGCCCGGCTAATTTTTTGTATTTTTAGTAGAGACGGGGTTTCACCGTGTTAGCCAGGATGGTCTGGATCTCCTGACCTCGTGATCCGCCCGCCTCGGCCTCCCAAAGTGCTGGGATTACAGGCAAGAGCCACCGTGCCCGGCCAACTTCACGTGAATTTAAATATTTGTGTCATCAGGTACACTCACTTTGAAAATGTTATTGGGAGGCTTGTTAAGGCAAGTGTCTTTTGTGTTACTGTTCTACACTCAGGCCTTCTGGAAACCCTGCAGAGGGTAGCTCTAGTGGCCAGCTCTCTTGTTGAAAATGAGTGACATAAGTACATGAAAAACCCAACAAGGAGGATTTGAAAGCGGGGCTAATTTTACACTTACTTCTTCCTGGGATAAAAGTCTTAAACTTTGTTTAAAGTGAAGTGTATGTATTTCTGACAGTGATTTGTTTCACTTAAATAGCTTGTTGTTTGTTTCTTTCATTTTTCTTTCTCAAGTTTTGGGTTGGGTTTGTTTCCCGTGAGTTTTGCCCCTGCCTCCTTCCTCCTCGTGCCTGCAGGGACATTGCTGGTGTGGCATCCTCCAGGCCCGTCCCCACCCTTTTTCTTGGCACACCTTCTCTAGGATGGCCAGGACAGTGACTTAGGTTCCACATCTGTGACTAACCGTTTTCATTCCGTTCTACAGCTTTGACAATTACTCTGCCAATGTTATGGTAGATGGAAAACCGGTGAATCTGGGCTTATGGGATACAGCTGGACAAGAAGATTATGACAGATTACGCCCCCTATCCTATCCGCAAACAGTAAGGATTGCAGCTGATTTTTAATGTGTCTTTTTTAGAGTATATAATTCTCGAGCGTTTAATTAGTGCATGTTACCTGTGGACTTGCTTATATTGCCATCATTTGGATATTGAGTAAATAGCAGACGGGGCGGAATTAGTTCCGTATAAACATCCCCCTAGATGGCAGGGGTTTTGTGTTTTGAGCGTTAACAGCTGTTCCATTGTTGGGCATTTTACAGTCTTCCATTTAGCTTCAGAATAACCGTATGAAAGGTACTTTTTGTTTTGTTTTGTTTTTGCAAATCAGTTTTTAACACCAATTGGTTTGAAGACAAGTTTGCTGTGTGACAGTTTTGTACCGCAGAATCAAATTAAGCAGTTAAGATTCGGGTTTCTTTAAACCAAGTTAGTAACTAATCTTACAGGTTTAATGCATTTTTTCCCACAAAATACATAATTTGTATGGCTATAGAACCTAAATCTATTCAGTGTAGATTGAGGTTTTGGTTTTGTAAAATGTATCCACTGTGTCCAATCAGAAAAAAAAGTTTAGTTTTTTTTTCTGTATCAGACAAAAGTGATTTATTTATCAAAGCTAATTAGAGCAGTAGCTGGTGAAAATGGGTACTTAGAAGACATTGTTGTGGTTAAAAGTTACTTTTCTTTAAGCAGTTGTTTTACTTGTGTATCTTTTGTTGATCTTGTTACATGTTTGTTCTTCATTTTTAAAAGTGTCTTTGGAAGCAAAACTTAAATATGCTTGAGATTCCTTGGGTGGATATCCTGTGTGCATGTCCTATCCTAGCTCTGTGACCTCAGGCAGGCCTCTTCCTCTCTCCAGTCTTTGCCTGTTTCCTTGTAGGGTGAGATGAGTACATGTCACGCACCCCTAGCAGTCCTGGGCACACAGCACACACTGCGGGCCAGCCGCTGTCAGAATTCTCCTGCTCCTGAGTGTGCGGGTGGTTCAGCCTAGAGAGCGCTGCTCTCCACGTTGTGCCCAAACGAGTGGCAGTTGTGTGGGTGCTCGGCAAACCTGGATTGGCCGGAGGGATTGGGGTTTGGGGTTGAATTGAGGTGAGGAAGACTTCCTAGAGAAAGGCTGGCTTTGAGCCCCGATTGATGATGAGGCAGCCTGTGGTTTTAGGGGGTATTATGGATGAAATAACTTAGTAGTTAAATCTACTGTATTAACAATCAGTCTATAATCCCCAGACAATTCAAATTCTTCTCAGTACCTTAGGAAACTATACCCAGTGGATGTTTACTGATTCAGATTGTAAATGGATTTAAAAACATACTGACTGGTAGAGTAGGAGTCTCCAGCCCACTGGACACATGTGGAAGGGTGTGGTGTCATTCTGAGAAATGAGAGCCACCCTGCTGTGACTCAGGAGGTACCGGGCAGGGCGCGGCCTTTCTCTAAGGGACGCCTCACAGTAAGTCAAGGGTGACTTGGCAGGAGTCCCACTTTGTGTTCTGAGGAACAACAGATGAGGAAGGAGAACTCTCCTCAGCTTGAACAAAGCTGTAGAGTGTGAGGCCTGGTATGAAAGCAGGTGTCCTCATAGGGCTAGCACTTAAACTTCATGTCTCCTCTGTGTGAGACCATGGACTGCTTTCCTAGAAAATATTTGAAGAGCAAGAAGGGAGTGAGACATGGTTCTTGCCCTCAGGCAGTTCACGGAAAAGTACCATAAATCATGTAATACACCCTGTACCAGCAAGGGGGTGAACGGGGCGCTTAAGGAGCAAGAGGAACGAGCACCCACCCAGCAGTGGAAGGCTTCCTGCCCGGACTCCTTCAGAGATAAGGAAATTATCTTGACAACTCAGGGCAGGCCACAAATGCTCAGACACCAGTGCCTGGAAGGCCTCATCCCTTTGGGCCACACAGTGCTAAGAAGAACAGGATCTGGGAGCAACATGCTGGCACCTGGGTCTCTTGTGGATACAGGTGAAACCTCTAAATTTTGTACTAAATGGAATGTGGTCCCTGGTTGCTGGCTCTGTGATCTGCAGACCTGTTTATGTAGCTCATCCAAGACTGCTTAGACACACTCCTGAAGGACCAGTTGGAAGATTTCTTCCCTAGGGCGTCCTAAAAGAGATGTTACATTTCCTGTGGTCATTTCACGTTGGCATCCTTCTCTGTTGGGTAGCGCTGTCTGGCTAAGTCTGTTCAGACTATTCGTTTCTTCGTTCTCCAAAAGATGGTGAGGAGGTAGTCGCCATTCTCAGTTGAAATTGCCCTCAGGTTTTTATTTTCTCGAATTAATCGTTAAATTATTTTCTCTTGAAAGTCTTTCCTAAGTTCTGCATACTCATCTTCAGTTGGCATGCACAGAACCAAGTCTTGTCAGAGTGATGCTCAGGTTCAGCATCTTCCCTTGTGTAGATCCCCTGTATTTATTTGCCTGCTTGCACCAGGATTGCTGGTGTGAGCGGGAGCCTAAGTAACCTGTCAGTGTCACAACGAGTCCTGAGCCCTGTGTGTGTCCCGAGACTCAGGCTGTGTGGCGGGTTCGCTGAGATGCTGAGCCTCCATGTTGGGGTCAGCCAGGACCCCAGTGCGTCATGCCAATTGTTTCATTTTCTTGCTATGCTAAAAGTTTGTCTTTTTGAGACGGAGTTTCGCTCTTGTTGCCCAGGCTGGAGTGCAGTGGTGTGATCTTGGCTCACTGCAACCTCCGCTTCCCAGGTTCAGGCGACTTTCCCACCCTAGTCCCCCACATAGCTGAGACTACAGGCATGCACTACCATGCCTGGCTAATTTTGTTTTTTATTTTTATTTATTTATTTTTTTTTAGATGGAGTCTCACTCTCTCGCCCAGGCTGGAGTGCAGTGCTGCGATCTTGGCTCACTGCAAGCTCCACCTCCCGGGTTCGCGCCAGTCTCCTGTGTCAGCCAGCCTTCCGAGTAGCTGGGACTACAGGCGCCCACCACCACGCCTGGCTAATTTTTTATATTTTTGTAGAGACTGGGTTTCACTGTATTAGCCAGGATGGTCTTGATCTCCTGACCTCGTGATCCGCCCGCCTTGGCCTCCCAAAGTGCTGGGATTACAGGCGTGAGCCACTGAGCCTGGCCAGTGCTAAAGGTTTTAAAGTGGTGGGCTAGACTCCTGTGATGGTAGATAAAAAGAAAAACTGCGGTGTTTGGCTTAGCAGTTTTGAGTTTCAAAAGGCCTCAGCTTTTGTGAGGTTGGCTGTTACAAGTGCAGCCAGAGAGCACCGGGCACACACCTGTAGTTAAACAGAACTGGGTTTGTTACTCTTCGCCGCGAGGGAGACACGCACCTGGGTGCTGTGGGAATTCGGCCCTCACTCATACTGGCTGGGAGCGGGGGATATTTGGTGATTTTTGTGGTTTGTATGATGATCTTGGATTTGTCACTACTTAGAAATGATTATGAGTTTTTTTTTTAAAGTTTACTTACTTTTGGTCCTATTTCAGCACGGTCACACAGGTAACTTTGTCTGATGTCGGTGTTCTGCGAGATTATTGTATTCAATAGTGGCAACCTCCACCATGGCGAAGCTGCGAGCACCAGGCTGGTTCTCAGATGTCAGGGACTGCCTGACCCTTTTATAGGATTACAGGCGTGAGCCACTGTGCCTGGCCAGAATGTCTGTTTTGTTGTTGTTGTTGTTTTGTTTTTTGAGACGGAGTCTTGTTCTGCCACCCAGACTGGAGTGCAGTGGCGCAATCTCAGCTTACTGCAAGCTCCGCCTCCCGGGTTCATGCCATTCTCCTGCCTCAGCCTCCCGAGCAGCTGGGACTACAGGCGCCCACCACCACGCCCGGCTAGTTTTTTGTATTTTTAGTAGAGACACGGGGTTTCTAACTGGGATGGTCTCGATCTCCTGACCCTCGTGATCTGCCTGCCTTGGCCTCCCAAAGTGCTGGAATTACAGGCGTGAGCCACTGCACCTGACCAGAATGCCTGTGTTTTTTAAAACTCCAAACCTGAAAGTAAAATCCAGGTGTATAGCATTTGGAAGAAAATAAAATGAAGTAGAAACAACGCTGCTTTTTTGTAGTGAGATCTCAGCTGTCCAGATGCCCGCCCTTGTCTTACTCCATGGAAAGTGGACCCATCTCTTGTGGTTAGTTCCACCAGTGGGCAGGAGGCTGCGGGAGGAGCAGCCCTGGCTGCACCTCTCACCACCGAGGAGGAAGTGGTGTGTGATGCAGGAGTGACAAAGGCATTGAAGACACCATGTGTGTAACAGGCATGCGCGAGTCTGGGTGAGTCAGAAAGGGGAAGGCAGTGCTCAGGTTGACTGGAAACATGGGCCGGTGACTGGAGACAGCCTGAGGCTCCAGAACACACAAGTGACCTGTGAGGAAGGAAGTTGAGAGACTCTGGAGAGACATTGGTGGTGCCCTCTGAGGTTCTCTGAGTGTTATGAGGACAGGGAAGAAATAGAGCCTCCCAGCCAGGGTCAGCCAGCACAGCCTGTGTGTGTGAGGCGTCAGGACAGCGACGGCCGGGAGGAGCGGATGCTAGGAAGTGAGTACCAGAAGCACTAGACAGGGTTTCGGGAAGCTATATTTAGCTGGGGACGAAGAAGGAACAAGGAAGGAACAGGCAGATGGCATCGCACGAACGCAGGGTGGAAAGTGGAACTGCTTGCTCCTGTTGTGCATGTCTCTTCTCCATCAAAAAAGAGGCTCTTAAAAATCGAAAGGGTGCCACAGATACGATCAGAGGCTCTTTTGAAGCTGCATTTTTGTAACTGGTTCTCGATGATCCTCTCCCATGCTAAAGATTTGGTACCATATCAAGTCCTTGGGAGGACAGATCTTCAAAAATAGCCCATAGATGAAACCCAGATAGCTGTGGAAACTAATATGCTCTTTGAACGGTAAATCCAGAAAAGCTTGAGTGGCCTGGCGCGATGGCTCACGCCTGTAATCCCAGCACTTTGGGAGGCTGAGGTGGGCGGATCACGAGGTCAGGAGATCGAGACCATCGTGGCTAACACAGTGAAACCCCGTCTCTACTAAAAATACAGAAAAACCAGCCGGGCGCGGTGGCTCATGCCTGTTAATCCCAGCACTTTGGGAGGCCGAGGTGGGCGGATCACAAGGTCAGGAGATCAAGACCATCCTGGCTAACATGGTGAAACCCGTCTCTACTAAAAATACAAAAAATTAGCCGGGCGAGGTGGCGGGCGCCTGTAGTCCCAGCTACCAGGGAGGCTGAGGCAGGATAATGGTGTGAACCTGGGAGGCGGAGCTTGCAGTGAGCCGAGATTGTGCCACTGCACTCCAGCCTGGGTGACACAGTGAGACTCCGTCTCAAAAAGTCTCAAAAAAAAGAAAAGCATGAGTGAGATGAAATTAAAAGTTTTCTCATTTGCCCCCCGCCTTTTTTTTTTTTGAGACAGTCTCACTCTGTCACCCAGACTGGAGTGCAGTGGCGCAACCTCTGCCTCCCGAGTAGCTGGGATTACAGGTGTCCACCACCACCCCCGCCAATTTTGTATTTTTAGTAGACACGGGGTTTCACCATCTTGACAAGGCTGGTCTTGAACTCCTGACCTCGTGATCCACCTGCCTTGGCTTCCCAAAGTGTTGGGATTACAGGCGTGAGCCCTTTTTTTTTTTTTTGAGACGGAGTCTTGCTCTGTCGCCCAGGCTGGAGTGCAGTGGCCGGATCTCAGCTCACTGCAAGCTCCGCCTCCCAGGTTCACGCCATTCTCCTGCCTCAGCCTCCCTAGTAGCTGGGACTACAGGCGCCCGCCACCTCGCCCGGCTAGTGTTTTGTATTTTTTTTTAGTAGAGACGGGGTTTCACCAGGTTAGCCAGGATGGTCTTGATCTCCTGACCTTGTGATCCGCCCATCTCGGCCTCCCAAAGTGCTGGGATTACAGGCTTGAGCCACCGCGCCCGGCCCCTTTTCTTAAAATAGTTTCAGGGTTCTATGTTGGAAGAGCGAGTTTGTCAGTTTTTATTGGAATAAAGAAATGAATTGACAGCATTGTGATAAACACTGGAAGTGTTCACTTCTCAAATTTGTCCATGTCTGGACGTGGTGGCTCACGCCTATAATCCCAGCACTTTGGGAAGCCAAGGTGGGTAGGAGTTCGAGACTAGCCTGGCCAACATGGTGAAACATGGTCTCTACTGAAAATACAAAAAATTAGCTGGGCATGGTGGTGGGCGCCTGTAGTTCCAACTACTTGGGAGACCGAGGCAGGAAAATCGCTTGAATCCAGGAGGCAGAGATTACAGTGAGCTGAGATCGTGCCACTGCACTCCAGCCTGGGCAACAGAGCAAGACTCCATCTCAAAAAAAAAAAAAAAAAAAAAGCTTGTGCTTAAGGGGTGGCTTCCCCCAGACCTGCAAAGCGGCCCAGAATTGGGGGCCTTGGTGTCAGCAACAGTGTTGATTTTGATAATGCAAGTCTGTACATTCAAACCAGGCTCCCAGAACTAGGTGGAAGATAGGAACATTTCTGCATAGGAGACTTGGAATGTTCTGGTAGCATTAAAACTGTCAGCCCTGAGGCCTGGCTATGTTCTCGGAGAGCCCTGTGTCTGGTAGGCATCATTTACCGATGGGTACCTTTCTTGTGTGCTGTGGCTTCAGCTAGGCTGTGTCTGAGAACTCAGATGGAGCACTGGAAAGTGCCGGTGGCTCCCGCCTGCCTTCGCGGTAAGGGACGGTGCAGAACATCTCCGGCTGTGCGGGCTGTTGTAGATTCTGGTGGGTGCTGCCGTGGGAGGAGGAGCACGTTGTTGCCCCCATCAGGATCTGCCTGACCTCTGTGCACCATTGTTGAACTTCTTACGCCCGCTTTTGACCAGGTAGTGTGGAGTGTTTCAGTGGCATTTGTCATCAAAGATGTTAGATTATTATATGCTTTTGGATCCCTCTGGAGGGTTAAGACAAAATTCTAATAAAGAATCGATAAGAGGTTATGTTGATTTTTATTTTCCTCAGTCTGTACTAAACTCAAACCAAGTTCTCATGCATTACTAGGTTGGAGAAACGTACGGTAAGGATATAACCTCCCGGGGCAAAGACAAGCCGATTGCCGTATGTAAAACTTTCAGTCCACTTCAGTTTCAAGCTTTCTCTGTTCTCTCATTTCACTTCGTTTTCTTAGGATTTTTTTTTATTAAGCCTCAAGCTCCTTGAGTGTTTTATATTTAATTCACTCAAGGTTGGGGTTTTGCTTGATGAAATAAACTTGATTAGAGTGTGATAGTTTACCCACCGGCTTGAATTAAAGCAGTTTGTGAACTGCCATCTTCCCCTCCGGAGTGAAAGGAGGGGGGAGAGTGAGAGGGCCCCTCTCCTGGCTGGTTGGAGATGCAGATACGGAGACTCCTCTTGGAATCCCACCTGGCTGTGAGCCGAGCCGGAGCAGGACTAACCTTGTTGCCGGGGCCTTCTTTCTCCGCTTCGGTGTCCCGTGTGGTGGGGCTGTCTGGGCGCGGCTGTGCGGTGCTGCTGAGCTAACCCCACCGTGCTGGAGATGGTGTGCTGGGTGCCGCGGTGACTCTTGGACGAGCTTGTGCATGCGCCAGCGTTCTTCAAACGCCAGTGATAAAAAGCTGTTGTGTGGGATGTTTCTTTCCCTTTCAGGTACAAGGCATCAGCTGGAGGGTTGAAAGTGTAGCTTGGGAATTGTGTGCATTTCATAAAGTAGCATAATTGCCTTTTTCTAGGAGAATATTTTAGAAATGTAGCATTTTAGAAGTTCTTGGGCATTTTTAAATACAGGTAAATATTTGAATTTGGTTTGACACAAAATACAGAATGGAGGAAGCATGCAGATGTCTGGCGTGTTCCCCGAAGCACCCTCCACTGTGTCCTCCGCACCGACCCTTCGCGCCTCTGCTTCAGCCACAGCTGCCCCGGGAGCGAGTTCTCCTGAGGCCCTGGCTGTGCTGACTCGAGGGCAGCGTGAGGGTGGTCGTCAGCTGTGAAGGTGCCACTTACACACTAAGTCCTCCTTCCTTGCGGAGGGAAGGGCTCAAGTAGCAAATATTGGAGCCCCCACTTGGTGCTGGGAGCTGTGACAGGCAGCTCCTGAAGAAGCAGTTTAATTGGAACCAGTGACCATCTAAAAATGTTTGTACTCTAAACCAGATTTTACAGAAATATTGGAATCATACCTTCATACTTGATTTTTTGTTTAGATAGATAGGCGGAAAGGAAGCCTCCTGGGGGGTCTGGTCTGATCCTCCTGATCCTTGAAGAGCTTCTGGCATCATTCTGCCTTCACGCTCCCCATTTTCATAAGTAACTGGTGGCTTGACATGCTGGGTTTGGTTTGGGAGCCCTCTGACAAACTGAAAGGGTGGATCAGGAAGCATCTGACCAAGCCACTGGTACCTAGTAGACACGCTCTGCGTCCGACAAGTCCTTCCCAGCAACATCCAGAAAGCAAAGTGCAGGCTTTGTTCCAAGGTCGTTGTCTAAATGTTTCCCTGTGTTTCCTTTTTGTAGGATGTGTTCTTAATTTGCTTTTCCCTTGTGAGTCCTGCATCATTTGAAAATGTCCGTGCAAAGGTAGGTGGGGATTTAAAGTATGTGAGTTATAGAATGACACTCTCAGAAATAAATACTTTATAAAGTATAATAATAAATAAATTAAAAAAAAAGAAATAAATACTTTAAAATATCACTTAGCCTAGGAATTTTCAGTTATTTAAATTGGTTTTAGGAATTTGCTACTTAAGTACATGATTGGGTTTTTTATTCTTTTGAGACAGGGGTCTCACCCTGTTGTCCAGGCTGGAGTGTGGTGGTGACATCGGAGCTCACTGTAGCCTTGAGCTCCTGGGCTCAAACAGTTCTCCTGCAGTTCTCCTGCCTCCGTTCCTGTGTTGCTGGGACAGTAAATGTGCGCCGCTGTGCCTGGCTAATCTTTAAAAATTTTTTGTAGCGCTGGTTTTGTACACCCTGGCTGGTCTCAAACTCCTGGGCTGAAGTGATCCTTCCACTTCAGCCTCCCAAAGTGCTGGGATTATGGGTGTGAGCCACTGCGCCTGAGCCATCAGCAGTTTATTTTTATTTATTTATTTTTGAGATGGAGTCTTGCACTGTCACCCAGGCTGGAGTGCAGTGGCACGATCTTGGCTCACTGCAACCTCCACCTCCCGGTTCAAGCGATTCTCCTGTCTCAGCCTCCTGAGTAGCTGGGATTACAGGCGCCCGCCACCACACCTGGCTAATTTTTGTACTTTTAGTAGAGACGGGGTTTCACCATGTTTCCCAGACTGGTCTCAAACCGCTGGCCTCAAGTGACCCACCCACCTCAAACTCCCAAAGTGCTGGGATTTCAGATGTGAGCCACTGTGCCTGGCCTAATATGTGGATTTTTAAAGCTTCAGGTTCTGGTTCAGAAGTTTCCTGGACCTCATTAAAATAATGAGGCACTCAGAATTGGTCTAATAAAACTAACCACCATTTCTTTCTACTCCAGTCTCTTTCACAAACTTCTTAGTGAAAATGACGAGACAGGCCCTTCAGTAGGGACATTTTCAGTGGGGATAATGGCGGCAGACCTGAGACCTTGGGCTAGGTAGTTTATTCTCGTTTCTGAACAGATGATGAATTTTCTCAGATGACCCTAAGAACTTGTTTTACCAAAAACAAAGTGGTTTATTTGCTTTGGGAGGAACTCTCTTCCCTTCCGCCTCTTCCCTTGCGGTTGTAGAGCCCATTCTCTCTGGTCGTGGTTCTGTCCGGCCATGATCCAGAGTCCTAGCTTGCTCATGGAACACCTGAGATGTTTCTTATGGCTCAAGGCTCAGATTGAAGGTGGGAACCACATGAAGGCTCGGTGGGGAGGCTGTGCCTGAGGTTAGGTGTCTGGCACAAGTGCCGCCGGCTGGGTGTGATTTAGGTGAAGGGCGTCTGTAAAGGAGCACATCACAACCTCTGTTCCTTCTTCACATCTAGTGGTATCCTGAGGTGCGGCACCACTGTCCCAACACTCCCATCATCCTAGTGGGAACTAAACTTGATCTTAGGGATGATAAAGACACGATCGAGAAACTGAAGGAGAAGAAGCTGACTCCCATCACCTATCCACAGGGTCTAGCCATGGCTAAGGAGATTGGTATGGAATCCTGCGTTTTTCCTCTGCCTTGTACCTCTTTTATTGTAGTGACAGAGACTGGAGTCCAGTCTGGGAAAGGAGGGTGTGTGTCTCCCACTCAGGGCCTGGTTGTACTCTTGGGGAACCAGCTGGCATCGCCTTCTGGGTCTTAATGTCAGCGTTGGAAGGTGGACGCAGGGCTGGGAGCCGGCAGAAAGTGCCCAGGCCCCCGGAGCTGCCTCCCGCCGGTGTTGTGATCAGAAGAGAGTGGGCTCAAGTGTACACTGCTGTGTGGTTGTGTTTTCCTGTAGGTGCTGTGAAATACCTGGAGTGCTCGGCGCTCACACAGCGAGGCCTCAAGACAGTGTTTGACGAAGCGATCCGAGCAGTCCTCTGCCCACCTCCCGTGAAGAAGAGGAAGAGAAAATGCCTGCTGTTGTAAACGTCTGAGCCCCTCGTTCTTGGTCCTGTCCCTTGGAACCTTTGTACGCTTTGCTCAAAAAAAAAAAAAAAACGGTGGAGCCTTCGCACTCAATGCCAACTTTTTGTTACAGATTGATTTTTCCATAAAACCATTTTGAACCAATCAGTAATTTGAAGGTTTTTGTTTGTTCTAAATGTAAGAGTTCAGACTCACATTCTATTAAAATTTAGCCCTAAAATGACAAACCTTCTTAAAGCCTTATTTTTCAAAAGCCCACCCTATTCTTGCTCAGATTAAGAGTTGCCAAAATACCTTCTGAACTACACTGCATTGTTGTGCTAAGAACACCAAGCACTAAACTGTGTAAGGACCTTCGTCTTTGAGAAGACTGTAGCCTCTGCAGTTAGGAGATGCAGACACTTGCTCAGTAGTTCTCAGATGTGTAAAGCAGAACAGCCTCCCGAATGGTGCGTTGCCATTGAACTCACCAGTGATTTAGCGGCCCATGTTCACGACATAACATTGTACTGTAATGGAGTGAGTGTAACAGCTCAGCTCTTTGGATCAGTCTTTTTGATTTCATAGTGAGTTTTCTGACCAGCTCTTGTGGAGATTTTGAACAGAACTCGTGTTTCCTCTAATGAAGAATTCTGTTTAGCTGTGGGTGTGCCGGGTGGGGTGTGTGTGATCAAAGGACAAAGACAGTATTTTGACAAAATACGAAGTGGAGATTTACACTACATTGTACAAGGAACAAAAGTGTCACGGGTAAAAACTCTAAAAGGTTAATTTCTGTCAAATGCAGTAGATGATGAAAGAAAGGTTGGTATTATCAGGAAATGTTCTTAAGCTTTTCCTTTCTCTTACACCTGCCATCCCTCCCCAAATTGGGCATTTAATTCATCTTTAAACTGGTCGTTCCCTTAGTCGCTAACTTAGTAAGTGCTTTTCTTATAGGACCCCTTCTTACTGAGCAATATGCCTCCTTGTATTATAAAATCTTTCTGATAATGCATTAGAAGGTTTTTTTGTAGATGAGTAAAAGTGCTTTCCATGTTACTTTATTCAAAGCTAATAAGTGCTTTCCTTAGTTTTCTAGTAACTAGGTGTAAAAATCATGTGTTGCAGCTTTATAGTTTTTAAAATATTTTAGATAATTCTTAAACTATGAACCTTCTTAACATCACTGTCTTGCCAGATTACTGACACTGTCACTTGACCAATACTGACCCTCTTTACCTCGCCCACGCAGACACACGCCTCCTGTAGTCGCTTTGCCTAATGATGTTCCTTTGGGTCTGTGAGGTTCTGTAAACTGTGCTAGTGCTGACAATGTTCTGTACAACTTAACTCACCGGCAAGAATACAACGCGGAACCTTTCAGCCACGACAACAGGATTTTTTAAATTGACAGTTGCAGAATTGTGGAGTGTTTTTACATTGATCTTTTGCTAATGCAGTTAGCATTATGTTTTGCATGTATGACTTAATAAATCCTTGAATCATACAACTGGTAATACTGGTGTTTTTGAGACTTGATGAACAAGTTCCTGGTGTGCGTTTGTTTGCCTCGCTTTAAAGTCCCGGGTTGTTGGAGACAGTCATTTTCAATGCATGTCTCCACACAGGAGGGACAGAGGGAGTGCCACCTCCAGGGGAGAACTGGGTGAGCCCAAACAATACGGCAGGAGTGGAGGTGACGTTCACGTTTGGACCTGTCGAACAGCGGCGAAGCTCTGGTGGAGAAACGTGCGTCGGGGGCTGTGCACATCCTGGCCCAGAGCTTGGGGCTGAAGATGCAGACGTTGGGACCCTAGACTGGCCATGGAAGAGTAGAGGTTGGTGAACCCCACACACCCTTAAGGTCCTTTCCAGAGGCTGGCTGGGTGGCTTACGCCTGTAAGCCCAGCGCTTTGGGATGTTGAGGCAGGAGGAGTGCTTGAGCCCAGGAATTCTAGACCAGCCTGGACGAGAGAGAGAGCTCTCCACCAAAAAAAAAACAAAAAAAAACACACAAGAGCCTGAACTTGTACTATATGAAGGTTCATGTTAGAATTCGTTTTCTTAAAATTCCTTTTTATTGCTTTGAAGATTTGTTGGTTTTGTTTTGTGTTTTTGAGATGGAGCTTCGCTCTTGTTGCCCAGGCTAGAGTGCAATGGTGCGATCTCGGCTCACTGCAACTTCTGCCTCTCAGGTTCAAGCGATTCTCCTGCCTCAGCCTCCTGAGTAGCTGGGATTACAGGCATGTGCCACCACACCCAGCTAATTTTTTGTATTTTTTTTTAGAAGAGACGGGGTTTCACCGTGGCCAGGCTTGTCCACTTTGGCCTCCCAGAGTGCTGGGATTACAGGCCTGAGGCACCACCCCCAGCCGAGTTTTTTTTTTTTTTTTTAAACAGATTAAATAATGCAGTTTTTGTTTTTTGAGACAGGGTCTGGCTCTGTCTCACAGACTGGAGTGCAGTGGCGTGATCTTGGCCTGCTGCAACCTATGCCTCCTGCGCTCAAGCCATCCTCCCACTTCAGCCTCTGGAGTAGCTGGGACCACAGGTGCGCGCCACCACACCCAGCTAATTTTTTTGTATTTTTTGTAGGGTTTTGCCATGTTGGCCAGGCTGGTCTTGAACTCCTGAACTCAAGCAATCCGCCAGCCTGGACCTCCCAAAGTGGTGGGACTCCAGGTGTGAGCTACCATACCTGGCAATAATGCAGTTTTTAAAAGTTTTAGTGGTTTTTAAAGAAAAACAGTCTTCCCCCTTCATACCCTCTCCAAAAGGAATACTTGGTTTGCTTACCTGATTTTTGGTATTTTACCTGCCGTGTCTAAATTAGGCTTTTTGTGCCAGTGAAACTTCTGAGTTCAACCATTCTCATCGACATTCCCACCATGGAAGATGTGAGGCTTGCTTTCCCGGTTGCAACCCTCTCCACCCAAAACCTTTCTCATCCCCTCCATATGATGGTTTTGGTGGACTCAGTTTAGTGCCTGCACAGTCACTACTACATAAACTACTCACCGGCCATGCCATGTAGCAACAAAACTGCGTTTCCTGCACAACTTCTGGTTTTCTTTGGGATAATTAGTACTTTGCTTACTTTCCTATGTACTGAATTCAATTGTGAACTACTTTTTTTTTTTTTTTTTTTGAGGCAGGGTCTTGCTCTGTCACCCAGGTTGGAGTGCAGTGGTGCCATCACAGCTCCTGGGCTCAAGTGATCCTCCTGCCCTAGCCTCCTGAGTAGCTGGGACCACAGGTGTGTGCAACCATGCCCAGCTAATTTTTAAAATTTTTAGTAGATTGGGGTTTCCCTATGTTACCTAGGCTGGTCCTGAACTCCTGGCCTGAAGCCACCATTCCACCTCAGCCTCCCAAAGTGCTAGGATTACAGGTATGAGCCACTGTGCCCAGCCTCAGCTGTGAACTTTTCATCTGTTGCCTAAACTTCTCAAGATGTTCAGATGTGTTGTTATTTTGCCAATATCCATTTTCCTGAAGTCATCTGACCTGCACCTCTCTTAGGTGCTGGTCTTCATTTCCTGCACCTAGATTCTCTTTTTTTGATTTACTTCATCCTGAATGGTTTCTCCAAGAGCTCCTTGAGTGTGTGCTGGAAGTACACAGTCATGCATCATGTAATGACATTGTAGTCAACAGTGTATTGCATATATGATAGTGTGTGAGACTACCTTATTTTTACTGTAACTTTTCTGTGTACAGATACGCAAATACCACTGTTAAAACTGCCAACTGCATTCAGTATAGTAACGGGCTGTGCAGGCGAGTAGCCTGCGAGCAGTGAACAGGCCCCACCTTCGACCTAGGTCTGTAGTAGGCTGATGTTAACAATGAAATCACCCATGTGTTTCTCAGAATATTTACCTGTTGTTAAGTAAGGCATCACTCTTATTTTTGAGCCCCTGCATGTTGACAACTGTTTTACAGTACCTCTGGCTGGGCCTAAAATTCTAGGTTGGTGTTAACATCCCTTTTAAGTTATATTGAGACAGGGTCTTACTTTGTTACCCAGGCTGGAGTACAGGAGCATCATCTCAGCTTACTGTGGCCTCGATGACCTGGGCTCAAGCAGGCCTCCTCAGCGTCCCAAGTAGCAGGGACTACAGGTGTGCACCACCATGCCCAGCTAATTTTGTTTTGTAGAGATGGGATCTGACTATGTTGCTCAGGTTGGAGATTTTTTCTTTTGAGACAGGCTCTTGCTATGTTGACCAGGCTTAGACTCAAACTCCTCCTGGGCTCAAGTGATCCTCCCACTGCAGGCTCTCAAGTAGCTGGGACTACAGGCTTTGGCCACTGCACCCAGCCTCCCTTTAGTTAAAAAAGTTTATTCTTGGCCGGGCGCGGTGGCTCAAGCCTATAATCCCAGCACTTTGGGAGGCCGAGACGGGCGGATCACAAGGTTCGGAGATCGAGACCATCCTGGCTAACACGGTGAAACCCCTTCTCTACTAAAAAATACAAAAAAAAAAAAAAAAAAAAACTAGCCCGGTGAGGTGGCAGGCGCTTGTAGTCCCAGCTACTCGGGAGGCTGAGGCAGGAGAATGGCGTGAACCCGGGAGGCGGAGCTTGCAGTGAGCTGAGATCTGGCCACTGCACTCCAGCCTGGGCGACAGAGCAAGACTCCGTCTCAAAAAAAAAAAAAAAAAAAATTTATTCTTGGCTGGGCGCAGTGGCTCACGCCTGTAATCCCAGCACTTTGGGAGGCCAAGGTGGGCAGATCATTTGAGGTCAGGGGTTCGAGAGCAGCCTGGCCAACATGGTGAGACCCTGTCTCTACTAAAAATACAAAAATCAGCCAGGTGTGGTGGTACACGCCTGTAATCCCAGCTACTTGGGAGCCTGAGGCAGAAGAATTGCTTGAACCTGGGAGACAAAGTTGCAGTGAGCCGAGATTGTGCCACCGCACTCCAGCCTGGGTGACAAAGTGAGACTCCATCTCAATTTTTTTTTTTCCCCCCTGTAGAGACAGGGTCTTGCTGTGTTGCCCACACTTGTCTTGAGCTCAAGGAATCCTCCCACTTTGGCCTCCCAAAATGGAATGATTACAGGCCTGAGCCACTGTGCCTGGGCCCTTCAGACTTTTGAAGGCAGTTCTTCCATGATCGTTCTTAGCCATTTCTGTTGGGATGTATTTTTTCTTAGATCTTGTGAGATTGTCCTTTTCTCTTCCACATTCTAGGGTTTATTTTATCCACCGTGCTGTGCACTTGGTGGCCTCTTTCTATCTTGGAAATTCATGACTTTCAAACTCAGATGTCAGACCTGGAGTGGCCTCGTAACCTTTTTCTTTTCCCGGTTTATCATCATCTTTGAGGTTTTGATTTTGTCTCTGATGCTTTTCATCTTCAGGAGCTCTTTTCTGCTCTCTCCACTGTGAGCCTCCAGGGTCAGTTCTGAGTCACAGCGCTTTCTCTGAGTCCCAAGCCATGGCATGGGTCATCAGGAGCTTCTGCCCACATCATCTGTTTCTTTTGGTCTCTTGTTCTAGTGTCAGGAGTCCTTGGCTTATGCTTAAAAGGCTGAAGTTGGAAACAGTTCCCTAGGAGGTCACACCATGTAGCAAGTCCATCTTGTACCTTTCTGACACTAGGTGAGTGCAGGAATTGGGTTTAGAAACAAGCTTGTAGCAGTTGGACGCTGCTATAGCTTTTCTTTTTTTTTGAGACAGTCTTGCTCTGTCACCCAAGCTGGAATGCAGTGGCACAATCTCGGCTCACTGCAGCCTCCGCCTCCTGGGGCAAGCAATTCTCCTGCCTCACCTCCTGAGTAGCTGGGATTACAGGTACCTGCCACCACGCCTGGCTATTTATTTACTTATTTTTTAGAGGTGGAGTCTTGCTCTGTTGCCCAGGCTGGAGTGCAGTGCCATGATCTCAGCTCACTGCAACCTCCGCCTCCCAGGTTTAAGTGATTCTCCTGCCTCAGTCTCCTGAATAGCTGGGGCTATAGGTGCACACCACCACTCCTGGCTAATTTTTGTATTTGTAGCAAAGACAGGGTTTCACCATGTTGACCAGGCTGGTCTCGAACTCCTGACCTCAGGTGATCCGCCCACTGTGTCCTCCCCACAGTGCTGGGATTACAGGCGTGCGCCACTGTGCCTGGCCTGAAGTTTTGAAAGGACCCTTTGCAGGCTTTACAAAGCTCTAGGGTGGCATGGCTGTGACAGCACAGGCCCCACGGAGGTGTCTTCTGAGGTCAGATTTCCTGGGAGAATCTTCTTCAAGACTTGGGGAGTCAGGAGGGCAGAGTCTCCTTCCCTCAACTGTGCTTGTGTCCAGTTCCCGCCTTCCACCTCAGAGCAAACGACGGGCCAGGTTTCTTCCCGCTTTCGAGCAAACCTGCTCCTTAGCTGGTCTTGTCTGCCTCAACCCCACTTCACAGCTGCCCAGGGTCTTGTAAGCTGGGGTCCGTTCATGTCTTTCCTTCCTGCCTAAGCTTCTGTACTGCGCGTCATCTGACTGTTGGAGTGTCTTCTCCCATCCTGTGGGTCTGT